GCGGACCAGGGTGCGGATCCGGCCATGCGGCCACCTGCGCTCTCTTCAGCCTCCGGTCTTCTGGACATCCGGCTCGTGAGGGGGAGAAGGGGAGGGTGTGGTAGGTGCGTCGCAAGTTCACCATCGCTGTAAGTCAAGCGCACGTTATCCTGCCTGCTTCCGCCTTGCTGAGTGAGTATCTCTGACAAAGCGGGCCAGTCTCGTCTCAAGAAAGATGTCCAAATGAAGAACAAAGACGAGAGAGAAAGAGAGGGAGAGTGAGTGAGAGAGAATACTAATTGCACGTGAGGCACCTGCCTTCTCGCCCCTATGGTGAACACGGCCGGTCCCGGTTCACTAAAACCCGCCCCAGTGGACCGCACATGCCAGATGCTGGCTGACATGAGAAAAAAGCCCGGGGTGAACAGTGATCGATGGTCAACTGACTGGAGCTCGCCGTTTCGTTGGCTGAAAACGGTGCCTGAAAATCTCAGCAGAGACCTTCAACACTGAAAATCACGGCCCATAATGCAGAAGACAATACGGTGGCCAAACAACTGAAATTGCATGGAAAGACGTGGAAATGCAGACATACAGATAATGAGACGTGGGTGGGATAAATAAGGAACGAACCTAAAACCGCTCAACTCGCACGTAGGTGCAGCCGGGGGGGGGGCGAGTTGGTGACTGAATGATGAAATAACCAAAAACAAACGAAGCGGTGGAGGGCGGGGGGGGGTGAGATCTGTTCTCGTTCCTTCACAGACTGCAGTTGGGGCAATTTACTACATCACAAGCCTCAGCCCACTCATACAGGGCACGTAAGATCAGTATACTTTACACTGTTTCCAGGAGAGACGTGGACGTGAGGGAGAAGGTGCATCAAATCACATACAATAGCAGGGGGGAGGGTCCACCTTTACTATTAATGACATACAGGAGTGACATAATCGGCGATTTGTCCGATCTACATAGTCTTCGCTTGAGCTGACATTTCTGTACAAATCACATGGGTATCGGCAGGTGCTCGCGGAGACTCATGCCTCCGCTGCGGAGCCGACAACGCCGCCGCCGCCAGGGGCAGTGTCAACGACCGGGAAGATATTGGACGGAGCAGACGAAATGAAGGAGGTGCTAGCTGTTGATGGTGATGTCGCGTGCGGACGCCTAATCTCCCCATTGGTGGAGGACAGTCCCGTGGGGGCTGGCTCACGTTTGGAGGCTGCGGATGTGGAGGAGTCCAGTGAACCACCGAGGCTGCCTGAGGACGGCGTCGCCCCGTCGACGGTGGAGCAGGAATCGCAGGCTGCTGCGGTGTCAGCAGCACCTGTGCGTGCGCATCGGAAGGCGCCACAGGCGCTCTGGGAGGGGGGAATGGTCGACGCCATCATCGAATCAGGCGACGCGCTTCCACGTGCGCCGCCGACGCCGCCGCCGGGGTGAAGATATTGCAGGGAGCTGTGGATGGAATAGTACTCAGCATCCGACAGGTCATGGACCTCGTCTTGCGTGGACGGCAGTGGCGGTGAAGTTGCTGACTGGCCTCTTTGGGCCGGTGCTATTGAAGTTGAGGTGGTGAGAAGACAACGACCATTCAAGCGTGAGGGCAGGTCGGAAATTAGACCCCTGAGGGGTTTTAGGTTCATAGACATGCGACTGCCGTTAGCTGCTACAGGGGCAGGAAGTGCGGGCGGACGGAAGAAGAGGTCTTCTTCATCCTCACCCTCTGCGTCATAGTCCAAACCCAGCTCCAGATTATCATCCTCGTTGTCGTAGTCTCCCTCCTCGACGCCTTCATCTTCCTCACCGCATTCGTCGGTGATGTCAGGAGGAGAGCGACGACGGGATCCAGGACCGCCTTGCATGGAGGCACCAGCGGAACGAAAGGTGTCATCTCCAGAGATGTAAGCGAGACGTGGATAAGCAGGCGCCGTGACAGATGCAAACTTTGACCGTGGCGAGTTGACTGGCTCATGCGGATGGTAGCTATGATCGCAGGATCCGCGGGTACGGTTGAACTTGACAAGACCCGAGAAGCGGTCCAAGGGTGTCTGACGACCCCCAGCATCACCACCGGATCGGATCAGAGCTCCGTCATCTGCCTGAACCTCGAGGCTGCCGTCAAGGCTTGAGGGTCGAGACAAGGAGAGGCTGGTGAAACGATCAATATCACGCCCACCGGTCTCCGAAGCAGAGGAGCAACCGAAGTAGCCGTTCTGATTGGCATTGAAGAGACTGCCGAGGTGACCGGCGTGTTCACGCCGCCGACGTCGACAAAGCTCACGATTCACCAGTAGTACCACGCCGAGAAGGATGGCAAGAAAGGCCACGATCACAACGACAGTAATCGGCAGAGGGCTCCAATGCTCAGTCATGTGGTCACCAAACCCACCGGCTGCAGTAGCCAGTCCAGCATCCCTGGGAAAGGCCGATGGCAGGAGCTTGACTAATGGACTGTCAACTTTACAACCATTGAGGCAACGATCAAGGTCAGCGTAGGAGAGGCAGAACATGGCGCAGAGATGTTGACATCGGCGCGGGGATCCCAGTGTCGGGCAATCACCGGAAGCGTGGGGTAGTCCGCCCAGCTGGTGGGACCAGTAGCGGGTCCAGTTCGCTTCCGAATGCACGAAGTCGGTGAGGAGGGCAGACAGCGAGGCAGCACTCGCATCGGGCAGGCGGTACTCTTCCCGAAAACTGTACTCCCGAGTCCAGGTCGGCTCGGCAGCACTGAGGTTCAGAAAGAGCTGGTGGTAATCCATGAGGCGCAGAGTGCTGCGAGAATATTCGAAGACACGGACGCGTGGATTGAAAGCACCCAGGCCGCCCAGGCGCCAGGGCGAAATCGAGGGGCCGAAGAGGAGGGGAAGAACCGGTTCATCTAACCAAAAAGAAGATAACAGGAGTTCAGTGGGACAAGTTGACCTTGAAAAAGCAACAGCGGAAGCGGACAGCGTGTGAACGCACTGGAGCATAGCCCGGAAGGACCGTATACGCCACGAAAGAATCCAGACAAATAGCAAGGGATTGCAAGTAAGTTGTCGCAGAAACCTTTACTTTTTTGCTAATGGGGCAGAAAGGCGACGCAAATGCCCAATCAGCCGCGCACTGACTCCGAAGACGGAGCCTCGGATGAGAACTCAGTCAACCGATTTATCGATCTGGCGTCTGCGTACAGAGCCCTGCGCGGTCACCTCCAGTCCTGTGCCGTCGGTCGATGATTGACTAGCACCCTCTATAATTGCCGTGCGTTCTGTTATCGCTACTATCTCTGATGATGGACCCCTGTACGAGTTCGAAGGCTCAGGACAACAAACAGACTGCTCCGGGGCTCGACCATCCTTCTTCTTCACTTATGCTGGCAAGTTATTATTTACTACTGTGGCCTATTAAGATCACATTCTAGCTCTAAGTTAACGCACATTCCGCTAGTATCAAATATGAGGAAGACGTGTTTTGCTACCATATGCGTACAAGGAGGGGTATTATTGGCATGTAAATATTATATGAAACTGATGGGCCTGTTGTCATGGCAAAAAAATTGTAAGGTCATTCACCGAATAAAGCGACTATGACGAAGACACAGGAAGAGCACTTCGGGGGTGGATGCCTGAACACGCATCAGCGAGGGGCCGGAATGACACTGCTTTCGGAGTCGCAGCTAAATCAGCGGGGCCCGGTCACAACGTTAAGTCCCACGGGGCCAAGAGCTGACAACTGCATGAGTCTTGAGCTACTTCGGTCACGGCTCTCCGACCTAAGCAACGAGCACACCCCCCTCCTAATTCGGAGTCGGCGTTTGTTTGGGCAGGGCAGCTAGCGAGTGAACATTGGCACCAATGATGGTGCCGATGTGCCAAATAGTCGAGTGATTATTACGTAGGTCACCCAGATCACTGAAATTAACAACCCGGATTACGTAAGCCTGGTAGTCATATGATGGATTCTAGGTGAAGTAGTAAGGAAATCCTGCCTGGGCAGTCAACTTACTGTATCAGATTTGGTGGATTCCAGACGTTGCAGTAGGTTGGACGGGTAACTTGACCCAAATGTGACTACACTCGCGTCGTCCGGCGGGGCCTCGTAGCCCAAGTGGTTAGAGCGTTGGCTGTACTAAAGCCTTCCCCTTACTGCGTGGGTTAGAATCCCACCGAGGTGCCGAGTTTTTCACAGTTGGGTCAATATGAACCCGGATTCTGTTAAGTGCGGTAGAGGCACTCGGGTTCATCACGACCAATTAAACGTCCTGCCTTTGGAAGGTTGCCAGCTGACGATACAAGCCAGACCTCGCAGTCGGCCCTGTGGAATTGTCGACGGGAGAACTGTGAATCATGATGAAAGTCTCCTTCTTAATGTGGCCTCTATGACCACTCTCGAGCATGTTATATCTGAGTGGTTCACCCCCTTATGGGAAAAGCTGGTGCGTTCATTACTCTTACCTGTAACGGGTTCGAGCATGAATCGGTAATCTCAGCCGAGCGAGTCTTGTTCTCGCAATCCAGTCGAGCTGTCCCCAACTGTCTCCTGAAACTCGCCTCTTCATATACGACGGCATAGGGCATGTTCAGATCGATGTTCAGGCTTGTTTGAAGGCCTTGCCACTTAATGGTGCGTAAATGGCTTCCTTTCAGACCCGCGGATTTTGCAGCGAGCCTTCACTGAAGGTGCGGGAAGGACTACTTCAAACATTCCCGCACGATGAGCGATCGCATGAAATACTAATATAGGGTAGTATTCTGGATTCCTATTTAGATGTCGCCAGTAAAAGTAAATTCGAAAATGGTTAATCAACAACTGCTCCTTTCGTACGCGACAGGGATTAATTACCGCCGTCACAGACCACCTACGCACGCAGTAGTCACTAAACTCTGTTGCCTCCATCGCTCGTTTCTTCAAAGGTTTAAGACTCGCGGGACAAAACCAAGATACAAAGAGTTCTGCAGTTAATGTAAGTTGCTGCATAAGTCCCCTCAGTTAGACGTAAGGCACACAAAGGAGGATCAAGAGCGGATTAAATCAGAGACTTACCCTGTTTTTTTAATACACGGAAGGTGTCAGTGTGTTGGTGGGCAAACAGACCACCGATGAGTATGTCTGCGTTCCTCCGCAGCAGATTAAGGAATCGTTCATTGTAGTTGTCGAAGAAATGTCTGTACTTTGCAGGGCTGTTCTCAGTGGCACCGGGTGGGAAATGGCATATAAGAAGCACCTGGAGTTTTAGAAATGTGTTAAAACTGCCACTACTAAATTGATCTCAGTAGGCATTTTACATAACATTGAATAATACCTTTGTATTGGATTCACGAGCCCGCAACAGTGTAGTCTCCAGCCAGGCGAACTGTCCTGCCGGATCAGGCAGAGAGGGATCAGATTTCTTGTTGTTCAAATACCAAAGCATACCATTAACAGAAATTAAAACTAATGATGATCCTTCACTGATATTGACTCGGCGGGAGAAGAAACAACCTGTAAAGCGAGGTCGAAAAAGCACACAACGTTGGTATTCGTGGTTGAAGCTTCAGAAAAATGCCCAACAAATGGTGCATAAGTTGGAGCATGTTCATTAAACATAGGAAGTACACTTAATTCAAAAAGATCTCGGTCAGCGCGGGATGGAGGCTCAACAGGATAGTTTGCCAGGCTACATTTCAATCCCTCTATAAGATATAGCCCGAAGGGCTGACTGGAATGGCTTCTTCCTGATCTAGTTTTTGTGAAAACCTACGCATATGCTAAACCAGAGAAATTAAGGCATAGATCGTCCAGTGGGGCTTTCGGAATGTCAGTTACTGTGTCCGCGCCCATATCCGGTCGCGTTTACACCTCTGCCTCTAGTCATAGAAACGTGACAGACGTGAAAAGAGTGAGGCGAGATAGACGCATCGCAAGTGGCGGTACTCGCTCACACTAGCACGTAAAATACGATGACAGTCTTCGTTAAGAGCAGGACCGCCGAACACGCGTCAAGCGGAGATCTAGGTCCCCACACTGTCCAGTAACGCGCGCAACTGAATTTGGCAGCACTTTATACCGTCTCTTATCTTGTTATTTTTTACCTCGACAGCTGGTAGGAACTCCAAAGTGGGTAGGGAGCGCTCACCGATCGTTCTTACGGAACTCACTCGTTCCGTTGTGTCCTATGGGCTCTCTCTCGAGCCAACAAGCAGCCGCACAGCGGCGCATGATATAGGCAGTATGTTATTACCGACGAAGACAAAGGAGGCTGGAATGGCCATTTCTGGCTTATTTGCCGTCGTCAGCCAGTCATACCCAACCCCGAAGTGTGAAACACCCGAGGCCCGAACTCGCAACCTGTTAGTTAGAAGTCCTGTTAGATCGGTGAGCGCCCCCTACCATTGTATATTCCCTATCGAAAACCGACAGGGCAACGGGCTCGTGGCCCAGTGGTTAGAGGCGTGAACTTCTAACTAACAGGTCGCGAGTTCGAGGCTCGGGTGTTCCACACTTCGGAGTTGGGTATGACTGGTTGACGATGCCTAATAAACCAGAAATGGCTATTCCAGTCTCACCTGTCTTTGTCGGTCCTAACAAACCCCAACATCGAAGACAAGCAACAACATACGGATTCCTGGCTACTTCCGAATCCACCAGCGGCACATAAATGGGTCAGTCAGAGCTTCCTGCAAAAGAGGTCCGGATAAACGAGCACTGAAGCACGCATGCGTTGGTGCCACAATAGGCAACGAGCTAGAGAGGACGACAGCGAACAAAAGCTCCCGGAGAATTGTGAGGGATTGA